TGCGGGCATCGTGCATTGTCACCTCCCCGCAGCTCCTTCACCAAGAGCCCTGCGCTGATCCCATCACTGGTGTGACCCCAAAGGGTGGCAGGGTCCCAGCGATGACCCTGGGGACAGCTTCTGCTGCACAGGAGCCACACTCGGGCCGGCAGCAGCCCACGCAGTGTCTGGCGGGGAAAATCTCCCTTCTACCCCTCCCAGCGGAGCGAACTCCAGCAGCGGCAGGCAGGGCAGAGAGGAAGGGGACTGGGGGGACAAGGACCCGCTGGCTGGGAGCTGTCCCTTCTGCTCAGCATCGCCGCGCACGGGGACACAGCTTTACAGGTCACCAGGACACTACAGAGCAGCTCTCGGATCAACATCTGCCCAGATGTGCCTTGCACCCAGGGAGAGGAAGATGCAATCCCCTGTTTCAGGGGACGAGGTGCTCAGGGTTGGGGATAGGAACTCACACGAGCAGCTGTCCCTCCCGCACACCACGCGTCCTGGAGAGGGTGAGCAGCTCAGAGAGCCCCTTGGAGAACACACGCGGTGCTGCTGCTCCTCAAAAAGGCAGCTGGGCGAGCTCCTCTGCACCCGCTCCTCCGGCCGACGAGGCGCTGCTCTCACCCGGCCTCTCCTGCATCACCACTCGCCTGCGGAGAAACACGCGGACAAGGGAAGGGAATGGCCCAGGAACAACCAAAGAGGACACCCGCACGCTTCCCGCGGCCTCCAGAGTCCCACGTGCCAGCCCGGGGTCCGGCTCCTGCCTCCCACCGGATTTCAAATCCACAGGATATTTGTTTGGGTTTTTCTTAAAAAATATACTTTCTGAATAACGTTCCATAAAAATAGTCTTGTCCTCAGTGACGGATATTGCAGTGTGAAGAGTAACAGCTTCTGTTCCCGCTCTATAAAACGTGGAAAAGGCATCATGCTGATTAATGTAGAAAAATGCAAGAACTCAGTATCACAAGAGCCGGTACAAAACGAGGAAGGTGAGAGTTTCCCTGGACGCCAGACGCCATCACCGCGGACTCCTCCGAACCCATTGCCATCACGGGGCCCACGAGGGCAACGGTCTCGCCCCGGGATTCAGCCTGGCCTGGGCAGCAGCAGGCACAGAGGCAGCTCCTGCTTGCAGCACGGGGGACGGGACAGCCCAACGTCACTGGAAATAAACTTGTAGAGTTCAAAAAAAAAAATGTTCCGTGCCATTTTCTTCCTTTTTAAAAAGGACAGGGACGATCACAGTTTCAAACTAGGGAGTTTCTGCATAAAATGCATCAGAGTTTTACGTACCTATTCAATTGCAACAGAGAGCATGAAGACAGACGGTGCCAAAAAGCATCTAATAATAAATAGATCTGGATATGGGTGTATATACTCTGGATACGGATATGAAATGTCTAACCGAGGAACGACCCCAGCCCTTCGGTGCCCACTCCTCTCTCCTCCCAGCAGCCGCTGTCTCTGCTTGCTCGCCGGTCCAGCGCGACACTAAAGAGACTCCACCTTCTTAAACAAGGTGGGATTTGCGCAGAGGAGAGGAAGGAGAGGTGGCAGTGGGTCTCCGGGGGGTTGACGAGCTCCATGCCTCCCTGGCAGGAAAGTCCAAGTGTGCAAAAGGAGTTGGGGTGTGAGGGGAGGTCCGAACCGATGCTCCGCAGTCACCCTCAGTTCTCAGAGAGCGACAGGGCCAGGGCAGCCTGCAACGCTGCCTCCTCGTCAATGTTATAGTCCTGAAAAAAGGAGAGGGGCAGTCAAGAGAGCTGGAGTGGCCACAGGGTCTCCATCAGGCATGGAAAGATGGCCATAGTAAGGAGACCTGCTCCTCCTCGTCATCCCCCGGGGGCTGCAAGCCTCCATCTCCTCTGGCAAACACATCCTAGCGACACCACGCTTTTTGGGGTGTCCTTTGTGCCCACGGTCCCTCTCCACAGCCAGTGTCAGCCCTGCTCTTAGACCTGGCAGCAGGCAGGGATAAACATGTCCACGTGAGAAGCTGTGGCCACAGGGCAAAGCTTTCTAACAAGGCCACGGGCTTCTCCAGCACTGCAGTTCGGGTTTATGTGACACAGCAATCGCTCCCTGGTGGGGATATTTCTGCGTCACTAGCTGTGGGTCCCCTTCCCCATCATCTAACGACCTCCAATAACGGCAGGATGAGAACAAAACCTTCCCTCAGTCCCTGCGGCCCAGGCTGGGTGATCACACCCTCACCCCAACACAGGAGGGGTCAGAAACACCCCCCCAGAGATGGGGGCCATGCGTGCAGAGCAGCCAGGCCCCCCAAGCCCCGAGGCTGGGCTGCTCCCCTCCCACTGCTTGTGAAGCCTCAAAAAAAAGGGCTTTTGTGTTCCAGTTCCTCAGGAGAAGAGTTTAATGGAGCATGTGGAGGAAAAAACCCATCGCCAGGGATAGGGGTGACATTTCCCTCTCCTTCAGAGACACTTCCCTGGTGTGGCTGATGAGGACCCCAGGGCAGGCAGGGAGCCCAGCCCCACACCCCTGGGGGTCTCCTGAGAGGCTGGTCCTGGCACGGGAAGGGCTGGTTTCATCTCCTGGGTGCTCTGTGTGGGACACGGGGACAATGACCCTGTTTCGTCTCAGGTCCGTACTCACCACGAATGTGTCGTAGGAGAACTTGTGCCTGTGGAGGAGGTGCTGGAGGAAGTTGGCACTCTTGTAGCTGGGGTCCCCCCAGGGCATGGCTGAGCAGACAGGGCACACCTGCAGCGGGAAGGGACAACCCGTGACTCGTGGGCAGATCCCCCCCACCTTCATCTCCCACTGAGGGGGGGCTGACACAGCCACAACATGAGGGAAGGGGGAGTAGCGGTTCCTCCCCTCTCTCACAGGGGTGATGTGCTAAATAGGGGTCCCACCCCCCCAGCAGATCCCTCAGCACACACAGCCTCTGGCACGTGGCCCAGGCTGCTTTTAGCCCTCTGACAAGTTATCCGCACACATGAGTGCCTCTGAGACGGTGCCAGAGCTGCAAGTTCCTTGCTTCGGTCAACCCCCTGGGAATGAGGAGGGGAAATCCTGCACCACCCGGGTCACAGGCACAGGGGGATGGAGGCAGCTCGTTCCAGAGAGCCTCTGGAGCAAAGCAGAGGCAGGTCCCCACCTCCTGTCCCAGGGAATTAAACTCCACGAGCTGGAAACACTGCTCTACTTACGTGCAGCAGCAGCTCTGTGTGCCAGTGGCCTTGGATGCAGCACCAGCTACGGTGTTATTTGGATTTCCAGGAGTTATCCCACACAGAACCCATCCCAGCACCCCGGCATCGCTCACCACTTTGTTGGGGTCGTTGCGGTGGTTCTCCATGCAGTGCTTCACCAGCTCCTGCTGGTCCAGGTTCCGGGCCCCGCAGTACGGGCACACGAACGTGGAGCGATTGGGAATATTGCTAAAGAGAGCAAGGACAAGCTCAGATCCCCCAGGAAGGGACTGAATCGACTCCTTCCAAACTAACCTGGCTGCTCGGCTTTGTGCCACCCACCCCAGTGGAAACCAGCCCAGCCCACTCCCACTGCAGGCTGAACCACCCTGGTTTGGTTGGTTCCTCCTCCCACACCACGCTCTGAAACACAGGGCAGCGCAGGGGCTGCCAGGAGGGGAAAGGTGCTGATGTTCCTCCCTGGGATTGCCCAGGGGAAAGTAAAACACATGCTGGGATTTTAGGATCTGTAAGGGAGTGGAGCACGGGTGCAGTCTGCAAGGAGGGACACGCTTCCCCACCCCATGTGTGGTGGTACCTGGGGATAGGCTGGGATGTGGGGACAACCGGAACAAATTTGGGGCAGTTGGCCATCTGCTCCTGCACCTTTGCACAGGATGAGACGTGAGAGCGCATTTTCGCGAGGGTCACCTGGAGAACAAGGAGAGAAGAAACATTCCTGGAGGCTGTGATGCCTTTGAGACGCCTCTGCTACAGCTCAGGTGAGATGTTTTGGTCAACCAACGTCAGGGCGAACACTGGTCTGTGCAGGATGACCCACACCGGTGTGGAAATGCTGCACCAGCCCATCCTTCCTCGCAGGACAGAGATTTGGCGCTGCACGTGTCCCCAGAGGTCACACACAAGCCACCCAGGCTGTGTGACTGTCGCCCTAACTCCATTTCCCTTTGCACGGGGGGAACTGCTGACAGGCAGAAACCCCAAACTGCTCCGACACCGTACGGGATCGCTCCTAGGCTGCAGCCAGGGAGTTAAAAGAAGATCCCCAAAGTGAACAGAAGCCAAAAAGCGTGTCAGTGGAGACAGACCATGAATCACAGCTTCATAGCCAGTCCCTGAAGCGTCCCAGACCGGACTGCCCTGGCCACGCTGCCAGCTCAGCTCCCCTCCGGCCGCTGGGATCGTGGCACCTTAAGCAATAGTTAAATCCTCACCCTCGTTAGGAGCAGCAGCAGCAGTGTTGGTTTGTCTCAGCCTCTCCCTCCCGTGTTGCAGGAAAACCTCAGCCTGCTTTTGAAGGTCCCTACTGTCTAATAATAGCTCCAGCCTGCCGACAAAGACAGCTCGGAGAGAGCACCTTCATCTCCGCACAGCCCCTAGCTCACGGCAGTGACACACAGAGGGGACACCACACCTCGCAGCCACAGTTTGGGGACCTGCTGACCGGGGGACTCCACAAATCCAACAGTGGAAAGCAAACCACCTCCCTCCCACAGTGCCACAGCTGTGGGGAACAAAGCCGTGCCCGGGCAGGATGGGGCCAGGCAGCCGTCCCCTGCGAGCTTTACCTTCTTGCTGCAGCCTCGGCAGGGAGCCTTGTAGGACGAGAGCTGTTTCTCCACGCTGGAAGCCTTCTCCACCTTCTTGGGGTCGAAGGGCATGCGGCAGAGCGGGCAGAGCGGGGACGGCACCTGGAGGCAGGGCTGCAGGCACTCCCCGCAAAACCTGCGGGCACAGAGAGCGGCGTCCAGGGGC